TGAGATGGAATTTTGCTCGTTTCCCAGACTGGAGTGCAATGGCATGCTCTCGCCTCACTTCAAGCTCCACCTCCCGGGTTCAAGTGATTCTCCTGCCTCAGCCTCCCGTGTAGCTGAGATTACAGACATGTGCCACCACACCCAGCTAATTTTTGTATTTTTAGTAGAGATGAGATTTCTCCATGTTGGTCAGGCTGGTATCGAACTCCTGACCTCAGGTGATCCAACCGCCTTGGCCTCCCAAAGTGCTGGGATTGCAGACTTGAGCCACCACCCCCAGCCACTGCACCTTTCTTATTAATCATTGATGCAATCTTGCCACCTACCCAGGCAATTTCTAAATCAGAGAATCAAGAGTAAAAGTTCCATAATATAATACTATAGACAAATGGTATACAGTGCTGTAAATTCTCCTCAGAAAATGAACAGTTTGGCAAATCAGACACTTGCTACATTAAAAATAATATGCATATCTCGTTAGTATGAAAAATATACAGGCAACATTTGGGCTCCATACTTACTGAGTTAAATCCTCTCATTCATATGTACAATACAAAACCATATCAGTCTGAGATTTCTGTTAGGTAGACATGTGTCCTAGCCCCTTTCCTCTGTTAAATTTTAAATACTGCAAAGGAACCATTTTCCCTGGGAGGCTCCCACACTTGGGATGAAGCTTTCTCTTCGGAATTTTGGCACCCTATTAATTAGTGGTTATGAGTGGGAGCTGCTCTCTCTCAGCAACTCCTATTCTGCCATCAGTCAAGTGTGATTCTGTAATAAATTTCCACGAAGCAAACTATTTCTGGTAATTCTCCCTAATTAACACCAGGCCTGCTAATAATACATCAGTACCTATGTGTTTCTGATATAACCAAGATCTTGTCTGAGAGTACTCAAAAAGGGAAACCGCCAACCCAAATTAAGCTTTTGCTGGCAAAAGGATTTTATATGTAGTTCTGTAAGAAAACCTTTGATAATCTTATATTGGGGACATTTTGACTAGAAAACACTGAACGACAGGGAGGCTTGCTCTGGTTTGAGCACTGAATGGGGATTTATTGTGAACACACGGTTGAGACTTAAGCCTATAAATCTTGTACTGGATTACTGTTTCTTAACGAAGGAATGACAGATCTCTTATTTTGTCGGTGCATTTTAATGTGCAATGACGTGATTGATAGAAACCAAACAGCAGCTATTAAAATGTCAGATGCAGACTTGATGCCCTTAAAAGTTTGGCTTCTGGAGTTTAATATACTGTGAGCAAATAGACTTGAATTTCTCTTTTATTGCCAACATACAGCATGCAACAGAAACATTTGTCTTAACTTTATACAGTTGGAAAAAAAAATCTGACTCAAACAAATAAACAAATGAGAAAGAGGTGAGCCTACCTAGTTATGGAACAGTAAGTTAATGAGATCGGGATGAGTTAAGCATCCCTGTATCTAATGCAAAATGTGGAAATGTGGATGATGATTTATGTTCTAATATAATGTTTGATATGACAGGCTGTTCTAATACATCATTTCAGCAATAAATATTTTAAAAAGACATTAAAACTTATCTATTAATTCACAAACATTGGGTACATTCTACATGCACAGCATAAAAACAGAGAGAAGTATAATAAATGTGATAATATTTTCAAATATTTTGTTTGAGACATTTTGATAAGCAAATATCATACTAGAAGGATTCTTCTGAGAATTATTACATCCAGTCCTAACCTATGAATATGGAACTTGATTTATTTTCCCATGATGACTTGATGGAAACCACTTACCACCCAACAACAACAACAACAAACCAGAAGAGCTCATTTACAACAATGCAGTCATTTATTTATTGAGTATGTGCACATTATGGTATTACTATACTGATTATATTTCTCATGTGACTTTTAATTAGAAAATGTATCCAAAAGCAAAACAGTAGATATATACAAACCTAAAGAGACAGAAGATAGAGATGAACAGATAAGGCAAATTACACATTGAGAATCCAAATCCCATACCTTTAAACATTTGGGAAATTAGGGGGACAAATGGAAGACAGATCAAATTTGGGTAAAACTATTCAGTATGTTTCCCTTGCTTTATGTCTGAGCAGGCTCTTCCTTCAACAGGGATGACTAAACTCCAAATACCACACAAATGTTAACAGAATACTAGGTTCATGCTTTAACAGGGGTAAAGAAGAAATTATTTTACATAAAAGGGCTCCTGATACAGTATTGCTTGAAAATGGTATATTTTTGTTGTAGATTATTTTAAACATAATACTACATTAATATTTTGAAGGTTTGAACTGCTATTTCCATTTGTTTTTACACTGTGACCAAGGGATTAGGTTATAGTTTTAGATTCTAAATGTAATCTTAATTAATAAGAAATAAACATGATACTACAGTTATCCCATGGTACCCCTCTGGGTGACTGGTTCCAAGGACCCCCTAGGGTACCAAAGTCCATGATGTTCAAGTCCCTTATATAAAATGGTGAAGGAATTGCCAAATAACCTATGCACATCCTACCATATACTTTAAATCATCTCTAGACTACTTATAATAACTAATACAATGTAAATGCTGTGTAAATAGCTGTTATACTATATTGTTTAAGAATTAATGACAATAAAGTTTGTACATATTCAGTAAAGGCACAACCATTAATTTTTTTCCCCCAAATATTTTTGACCACAGTTGATTGAATCACAGATGCCACACGGAGGGCCAACTGTAGAACCATCAGCAGGGGCTACTTTTTAGATTGCCTACTTCAGCGGGCAACATTCAGTCCATGTATGTCCAGAGAAAGATTATAAGTCTGAACTTATCACCAGAAATTTTTAAATGGGAAATAAATCCAAGGAATTTGTCAGGCATTATGATTTTCATCTACGTTATGCCAAGTACATCATTCCAAAATATACATCTAGAGAGGCTAAAAGTAAATGCTCTATAGTGAGGAAGTAATGATAAAAAATGCTACTGACATAGAAAATTTATAATCAGAAAAATAAATATTCAGGGAGCCCACCAGAAGAATAAAGTGCTGTGCCAGTTATTAAAGGATTACTGCTGGTGAATTAAATATGGCATTCTCCACTGGAAATACAGAGATTCTTCTGGATTATGTTCAATATTTATTTCACAGGATTAACTGTTTTAGGAACAGATATAAAGCTTCGCCACGGAAGAGATGGACAAAGTACAAAGACGAAAATGATACATTAGGAAGCAACACTACCCTTTCAGGAATATAATTGGAGAAATGCAACATTATGCTTCATGAATAATATGCAGAAAGAAAGGTCTAACAAAAATGATATCCTTAATGTAACATAACGTTATAAGAAATCTGGGTCAAATAAAAATCTCTGAAGAAAACATCTAAATGCCATAGACTTATCAAATACTATCTTGACATATAACCTATAAAGTCAAAACTAAAAAAAAAAAAAAAATCACACCAAACAAAACCATCAACTTATTTTGTATGCCATAATGTAAAAGACTGTAAAGATGTGATGTGTACATTATATGACAATGCACATTAGCCAGAAAGTCCTTTATAGGTGGTTTCAGCAGCAATGATAAATAATGCAGAATTCAGTTCCTGCATGTTGTTTCAAAAGGAATCTCCCACCTCCCTGCAAGATGCAGGGTGAGGAGGTAGCTTGGGGTTGCTATTGTACAAGTATTCAGTTTGCTACTTTGTGTCACCCCTTGCCATTCTTTTATCCCCTGTTAATTATTATCTGCATATAATATAAATCTGCTAGACCATAAATTAACAGCTTTCAGGACAGATGCCTTGAAAGTTCTTAGGGAGGTTAAACAAATATTGCAGCCTAAAACCTCCTCTATAACAAACAGGCACACAATGGAAGTGATGTCGTGAGTGAGTGATGGGGCGGGAAGGACCTAGGGCTCTGTCTGAACTATAAAAGCACCTTGCCCCAAACACATTTAAATTATAACTTAGGGGGTTCATGGTCTTTCACCCATTCTGGAAACAAAGAGAAAAACCAAATCAAATACCAAAATCTGTTTTCTCACTGGGCAAATAGTAACAGGATCCACAGTTTTACCGCAATTGTTTCCCGGTCTCCATGTGGTAGCTACATAATTCTTTTCCCAAAGGAGGAAATCAAATAACAGGCCAATCTGAATAATTAAACTCCCCTCCTAACACTACCAAACCTCTGTGAATAAAAGCTTTTCAAACTTTATGATCACATGTGAAATTGGTCCACTTATTGAGAGAAATCCACAAAAAGTCTGAATTTCATCACGTCCTCAAGCCTATCTTAATTTTTAAAGGTAGAAGAAAAAAAATGAAACAAAAAGATTATTCTGCAAAGAGAGCTCTCAACTCTTCATCAGCCAGTGGCAGAACTCAGAAACTGATTTAACTGATTTATTATTTGAGAAGCGGGGAATGACAAAACTGCGGGGTACAATCTTCTGATTCACTATAGCTCCCAGCCACATTTCCTATTTATTCTCTTTAGAGAGAGAGAAAGCTGTTAGAGGCCAAAATTATTTAATTAAATCTTTGCCTTAGCATCAGGGAAGAGAAAAAATGGAATTTGCCTACTATAAGTGATGAAGCATACACAATGAATAGAAAGTCACATTTTAGCAAAAGGCAAACATTTGAGACTTATAAGCTATATGGTAGCTTATTTTTCAGTGGGGAAGAAATGAGAAAAGAATACAACATCTCTTACTGGCATGACACATTTTGATTAAAAAAAATCTCATTGCCCTTTCCTACTAGAATGATTCACTGTAAGGCAAAAATAATATACAAGCAATTTTTTTTTTTTTTTTTTGAGACAGTCTTCCTCTGTCACCCAGGCTGAAGTGCAGTGGCACGATCTCAGCTCACTGCAATCTCCGTCTCTCAGGTTCAAGCAATTCTCATGCCTCAGCCTCCCAAGTAGCTTGGACTACAGGCGCATGCCACTGCGTCTGGCTAATTTTTGTATTTTTAGTAGAGATGGGGTTTCACCACGTTGGCCAGGCTGGTCTCGAGCTCTTGACCTCAGGTGATCCGCCCACCTTAGCCTCCCAAAGTGCTAGGATTACAGGTGTGAGCCACTACACCTGGCCTACAAGCAATTTTAAAAAACTGACATCTACTACTGATAAAATTCTCTGTTTAAAATCCTATTTACTATTTTAAAGATAAGTATTAGTTTTTTAAAAAATGGTTCTCTTATTGATATAATTAAAGGCATTTTCATTGCCTTTTGTGGATTTTCTTGTAACTACCTAACAGGAAAGAAGGTATAATTATTTCAGATCGGATTATTTATTCTAAAATTTAATTCTTCACTAATTTATTCTAAGATGAATTTAATAGTCCATCAGGAAATTGGTTTTTATAAAAGTTATATTATGGGCATAAAATACAGGAAAAAGTAATAATAAATGCCAAACTGTCTCTTTACTTTATGAAGCCAACTATTTCCTCAGACTTGGTTTTTAAAGCTGGAATTTATTCCTTCAGGGCCACTATGATTTTTCAAAACTCCATATAAATATTGAATCTAAAAATTAATTAGTAATTTTAATTTTCCTTTTTCTCTTCAAATTTCTTCTCTTCTCCTGAACTGTTGACTTTCAAAAATTCACAGAATGAGCATGTTTCTTACACAGTGGCTTGTCCTTCTTGGAGAAAAAGGTCTGACCTTCCAAACTTTCACAACACACCTGAAAAAGAAGCATTATTTAAGAGGATATTATTTAAGAGGATACTACGCATTATTTAAGAGGATATTAAGAGGATTTTATCAAGTTTGTTGGAGAAGGAGAAAGTGATTTTCCTCCCAATGGATAATATGGCAAAACACTTTATTTGGTTATGTTAGACTCCCTAATATTTCACGATTACTATGACATTAGATATAATCTTTCAAAAGCAATGAAAAATGTTTTTTTCCTAGAATATGTTCTACTTTATAGAAAGCACTGAGCATCACTTTTCTTTATCCAGAGGAAAGATTTATAACTTAAAATTTAATATAGAAAGAGGGCCCATTAAATATATTGTATGTCCCCAAATTCTAAACAATGTCTTAATTTTGCTTCGTGTTGTAGAGAACCAAAACATGACAATTTGCTTTACCAAACCTTCCCAAGCCCAACATTAGCTTGCCCCCAAATACACAGGCACAGAATACCTGAGAACTACTTTTTAAGGGGTGCCTTGTGTTCAAACTGAGACCTCTTTTTAGTTTCGTATATAAAGACCCAGGTCAACATCTGGCTGCTGCAGAATTATACAGTCAGCTGACTACCTACATGTATAGCTTCCTGTTCTTCCTACTGACTTTGTTAATTAAAATGCTCATGAACAGCTTTATTAAAGAAAAGGTAAATCTGCTAAAACTTTTGCTTTTTATAGACTTTATGAAGTCTAAGAGATGGATGAGGTAAACATGAGTTCAGTGGTAATGTTTGGGGAAATCATTAGGCTTCAATTAATATTACTTTTGCTCCCTTTATACAATGGGTATTGAAAACTATAGCTATGTTAGATCTCATTTTCAAAAATCAAACACCTGAACAGAGGCATGTTTAATGGATATTTACTTCCTACATTTAAAAACTATATATTTCAATCTCTGAATCTATCCTAATCATTAAACATAAAACCAAAAATGTTAAAATATCAAATGAACAGGCAAATACTTTATTACGTGTTTATTAGACTACAGTCTCAAAAAGAAAAGAATATCCAGGAGCTACTGCTGAGAAAAGAAATGAATCAACATATAGTTTATTCCTAGTGTTAATTCAATAGATTTTCATAATTGTTTATTTGTATTTTACGAAGTACCTAACATTTCCAAAAACTACAAAAAACATTCTAGTAACAGAAGTTTTTTTCTTTTTTTTTTTTTTTAAGTAAAGGAATCTTACTGTTTTAAGAAATACACAGCTTCTTCTTATAGACAAAAACATGTTAAAATTATATTTTCTCTAAGGACTAAGGATCTCACTGTTTGCCAAATAATTTCAAAAATGCCAAAAAAATGTAATAAACAACTTTAAAAATTTACAAAACAGTAAAAAGATATATTTTTTAGGTTCAATGGACTAAAAGATGTAAGAACTGATATTTCCATTAAATACTAAAGCTAGAATTGGCCGCACTATACCCCTTTAATTAGGAAGACTTTACTTACTGAGCATACAAAGCAAGTGTCATGCCAGGTGTAGCCCAGAGCTTCCAGGAACATGTCACCAGCTTCTATGGGAAACTCACATCCATGGCATATAGTACCAAAGAGGGCATAATAATCTGTATTGGGGCAGGGCAGAGAAACATAATGTAAACACAATGAAGCTGTAGAATGATCGTTCCTAGAAGGCAGCAACAAAATCAGGATTAAACAAGATGCTAAAGATAAAGATAATTAGGAATTTGAAAAATCTCAGGAGGTGGCATAACGTTTGGCTTGAAAGATACATTTAGCATGTTTCAGGATTCCCTTGGTAAATATTATTTATGCACCCTTACATTCTTGATTATAATTTTCCATGTAATACTTCTCACTTCCCTCCAACTACTTAGTTGCTTAAATACGTATAAAGAAGAACTGTTCTGGCTGGGCGCAGTGACTCACGCCTGTAATCCCAGCACTTTGGGAGGCTGAGGCAGGTGGATCATGAGGTAAAGAAATCAAGAGCATCCAGGCAAACATGGTGAAACCCTGTCTCTACTAAAAATACCAAAATTCACTGGGCGTGGTGGCATGCGCCTACAGTCTCAGTTAATCAGGAAGCTGAGGCAGAAGAATTGCTTGAACCCAGTAGAGGGAGGCTGAAGTGAGCCAAGATCGCACCACTGCATTCCAGCCTGGGCGACAGGGTGAGACTCTGTCTCAGGGGAGGGGGTGGGGGGAGAAGAAGAAGAACTGTTTTGTGACCAGTTATCAGTAGAAATAACTGTTCTGAAGAAATACAAAGGACTTCTAATAACTAGCAACAGTGAGACTAATGGACAGAGACCAGGAACAAATGTCTGATATTGGCAGATTTCATAGTGTATCTGACTTGGTCAAGAAAGAAAAAGAAACGTTACAGGAGACTTACATGAATAAGTGCTATGACTGAATTTCTAGCTAGACTGTATCACAACAATATTAGCCACAATTTATTTTGTTATATTTTTCTTTTAATTTTGTAACTTCATGTTGAAAACCCTTGCCCAGAAAAGACCACTTATTTGACATAGACTACGGTTACAAGAATACTCACAGGATTTCCTTCTGAAGAAAGCAGTTTTGAGGAGATGTTTCTCTATACTCAATTAGAATTTTCTCTTTTTTTCCTTAGAGAGACAGTGTCGCTCTGTCACCCAGGCTGGAGTGCAGTGGTGATAACAGCTCACTGCATCCTCCACCTCCCGGGCTAAGCCATCCTCCTGTCACCATCTCCTGAGTAGCGGAGTCTACAGACATATATCACCATGCCCAGCTAATTAAAAACTTAAAAAAAAAAACAAAAAAAAAAAACAACTTTTTTTTTTTATGTAGAGACAGAGTCTTGGTAGGCTGCCTGTGCTGGTTTTGAACTCACAGCCTCAAGTGATAATCCTGCCTTAGCCTCCCAAAGGGTGGGATTAAAGGCTTTGAGTCACTGTGTCTGGCCCTAATTTTCTTTCTTTTTTTTTTTTTTTTGAGACAGAGTCTCACTCTGTCGCCCAGGCTGAAGTGTAGTGGTGCAATCTTGGCTCACAGCAACCTCCGCCTCCCGGGTACAAACGGTTCTCCTGCCTCACCCTCCCGAGTAGCTGGGACTACAGAAGAGGAGCCCAACACCATGCCTGGTTAATTATTTTTGTATTTTTAGTAGAAACAGGGTTTCACCGTGTTGGCCAGGCTGGTTGCCCGAATTTTCTTTTAAGCAGCTCCTCTCACTACTGTGTTGACTCATGGTTCACCCTTTGGCCTTTGACATTGTCAGTCCAACCTCAGCTGGAGAGGAAGGCAGGCTATAATTTGCAACTCAATTCACCTTCCTTAGCAACCGTCAATCTTTAGTATTCCTTCGCACCATTTGTCAGCATAGATCCATGCAGTCTACTGTGTGCCAGGCATTGTTCAAGGCACCGCAGGGGTACAGTGATGAAGAAGACAGTTGAGGTTGCTTTCCTCATGGGGCTCATATTCTCATTGGAAAGAGGATAGCATGATTTATTGAATTTAAGAAATAAGTAATTTCAGATTATCATAAGTACCATGAAAAAAAGAAAACAGTAATTTAATATAAAATAATTCGGGGGGCACCTATGCTATTTAGGAAAATTAGAAGAGGCCTCTCTGAAGATGTAATAGTTGCAACGAAACGTGAAGAATAAAGAGAAATTGCCACAGAAAAGCTGACAAAGAACATTACAGTTAGAAGAAACAGTAAGCACAAAAGCCCCGAGGAAGGAAGGATCTCAGCATGTTTAGAAAACGCCAAGGGGCTGGGTATGGGTAGAATCTGGTGACAGAAGGTAAGGTGCAAGGAGATGAGGATGGCCAAACAGGCCCTAGGAAGAAAGACGGGGGCATGGTAGCGACGCCTGTAAACCTAGCACTTTGGGAGGCTGAGGCAGGCGGATCACTTGAGGTCAGGAGTTCTACAGTATCGTGGCCAACATGGTGAAACCTTGTCTTTACTAAAAAGACAAAAATATTAGCTGGGTGTGCTGGCAGGCACCTGTAATCCCAGCTACTCGGGAGGTGAGGCAGAAGAATTGCCTGAACCCGGGAGGTGGAGGTTGCAGAGAGCCGAGATCAGGCCACTGCACTCCCGCCTGGGTGACAGAGTAAGACTGTATCTCAAAAACAAAACAAAACAAAACAAAAAAAACAAAGAGAAGTGTAATTTTTTTTCTAGTGGAAGCCACTAAGGGGTTTACGCTTGATCTAACTCACATTTTAAAAAAATATTACCATAGCTGCTCTGTCCCTGCTATTTGGAGGCTGGAAGGAATGGGAGGGGCGATACCATTTAGGTGCTAATTACAATGACCAGACAAAGGGTGAAAGCAAGTTAGATTGAGTGACAGTTAAGATGGAGAGAAATAAATGAATATGATATACAATGGAGGCAGAACTGCCAGGATTTACTATTTAGATAGGATAAGGAAAGAACAAGGGAAAAAGCAGAATCCAACATGATCTGAATGTTTTTGGCTAGTGGACAGTAGGATTATTTATTGAGATGAGGGAGACTGGGTTCCGAAATGGTTTGGGGGGTTAAAAGAAAAAAAAGAACAAAAACAGACCAAGTTGATTAAATGTGACATTTAAATAAATATTCAATAACATTTTTCCTCTTCTATAAGCAAGTATGTGGTTTTTAAAATATGACTTCAAATACATTAAATATGGTATTAAGGCTACATAGTTTTATGTGTTTTGGCTATTTAGGGGCTACCTGCCAGTTAGTCAAAATGTTTTCCAAAGCTGCTAAAACAAACAAATGAAACTAAAAAAAAAAAACATACAAAAAACCGCAGTTCTTGCTTCAGAAAAATTAAGTATAATTACAAAATATTAAGCATTATTGTTGAATCGAGGAAGGCAGCTTGTGGCCAACTTGTCTCAAAACAGCCCATGGGGTATTTCACTGGAATTTCTGGGGCTCCTGGGAGACAGTCTAGAATATACCCAGGTTGGCTCAAACTAAGGAGCTGAAAGGAAGATGAAAATAAGAGAATATTGAGTGGGCAAAGAAGGGCTGAATAATGATGATACAGCTTCAATTCAGAAGCTGACTGCTCCTTTAACTCCACCATCCTGGAATATCCCCTTCTTCCAGCACAGCACTTTGAATTTCAAGGGAGAATAAAACTCAGTAGTGAGAATGTGGTGGTAGTGAGGGAGTGAAGGCATGATAAGGGAAAAATGTTTTCTATTTTGAAACGTGTATGTGGTAGTAATATCTAAGGGCTACATTAATAAGTAAATCACATGAAAGTTCATGTACAGACTCTGGGAAGGAAAAGGAAATGTTCTGAGGTTATGTGATAAGACAAATATAGTAGATAGGCCCTTATAGTCTAGTTTATTAAAAACCATTTTACCATGGGAACAATCCAAGTCAGGATTACCTTCTCATTCAGTAAAAGTATCAAAGGATTTCAAGTTTATTTTCAAGGCAGTTGCCTTAAAGTGCAAATCAATATCATATTCTAAAGTGGAACATTTCTGATGTTTACAAACACTCAAAATTCACTACTGGACTATAAGAAGTGGCCTTAAGGTACAAGATTTGGTAGAATTTATATCCATAAATTATTGGGGATTCAAGCAAAACATTTTTCCTACTAAGTAATGCTTACATTATCAGTTATTATAATAAAGTTGGGCATATATGTTTTGACAAAGTCACATTAAAAATTCTACATAAGGCCAGGCATGGTGGGTCATGCCTGTAATCCTGGTACTTTGGGAGGCTGAGGCAGGTGGATCACCTGAGGTCAGGATTTCGAGACCAGCCTGGCCAACATGATGAAACCTTGTCTCTACTAAAAACACAAAATTAGTTGGGCATGGTGGTGCATGCCTGTAATTCCCAGCTACTTGGGAGGCTGAGGCAGAAGAATTGCTTGAACCTGGAAGGCAGAGGCTGCAGTGAGCTGAGATCGCACCATTGCACTCCAGCCTGGGCAACATGAGCGAGACTCCATCTCAAAAAAAGTCTACATAGTTTTTTTTCTATACGTTTAGAGTAATATTAAATGCTCCCAAAATAATTAAGAAAATGACTTTGCCTAATATTTTTTTGAACTTTATAGTCATATATGGGTTAATGTTTTACCTTTATTCAAAATTCAAGAAACAAATGGCTCCCTGATCTTACCAGTCTCACAGTAGGGTTCACCATCCTCCAGGTGAAAAACATTGTTCCGAATGGGCTTTCCACAGGCTACACACACGAAACAGGAAACATGCCAAGTTTGTTTTAACGCATTGATGACTTCCTGTTACAGAAAGGTAACTGGATGTTAAAAAAGAAGACAATAAATACATAAAAGTTTATTCTAATATCTGTACCAGTATATCCCTGTAAAGCTAATCCAAAGTAGGCACACATACTTCATTTTTGTCTTGAGCTTTCCCTCAAAGTAGCAGGATACATAAGAACAGACTCACAAATCATCTGAACTGATGCATGTTTAGATATGTGTTCTTCACAAATGCCAATCAATAAATTTAAATAATTACCACTATGTTATTTATACATTATATATACAGTGAATAAAGTAAGCATATTTCGTAAGTGCTTACTACAAAACTGTCTGCTTCCTCTCAAAGGGTGCCAGGAAACATTAACTTACAAAGGTTTTATGGTATTATCTGCAAAAGTTCTAAAGGAAAGAGGAAGCATTTAAAAATTAAAACAAACCTATACTTTGGTGCATTCTAGAAGCAATAATCCAATCAGTGTAATCCAATCAGTTTAACAAGTGTTTAGGCTTTCATAAATTAGTTATGATAGCCCTAAAGCATAGACTGAAATGAGTATCTATAACTTGAACCATAAAGCATGGATTCTAGTCAACAATGGCCCAATGGTTAAATATACCAAGCTATAAAGTTTTGGGCCAGATATTAACGAGTAAAGAGGTTCTGGGAAGCTGGTTTTACAAAAAATCACTTCTATGGATTGAGAGAAAGATGGAGCCATTAAAATATTTTTGATGAATAATTAATACTCTTTCTATAATATTTATCACAAAAAAGAGAATGTTAAACATAAAGCATGGTTACAATTTTGTAAATGAATTACTTATAAAGAGCAAACTGGAAGAAAACACACCATAAGGTTAACAGTAACTATCTGTGATTAGTAACTATTTACGTCATTTAAATTTATTCTTTACATTTTTTTGTTTTATTGTTCTTGAGTGAACTGTTTTCTTTTATAAAAAAGAAAGAGCCAGGTGTGGTGGCTCACGCCTGTAACCCCAGCACTTTGGGGGGCCGAGTCGGGTAGATCACAAGATCAGGAGATTGAGACCAGCCTGACCAACATGGTGAAACCCCGTCTCTACTAAAAATACAAAAAAATTAGCTGGGCATGGTGGCGTGCGCCTGTAGTCCCAGCTACTCAGGAGGCTGAGGCAGGAGAATTGCTTGAACCCAGGAGGCAGAGGTTTCAGTGAGCCGAGATCGTGCCATTGCACTCCAGCCTGGCTAAAAAGAATGGAACTCCATCTCAAAAAAAAAAAAAAAAAGAAAAGAAAATTAGCTGGGCATGGTGGTGCGGGCCTGTAATCTGAGGCAGGAGAATCACTTGAACCTAGGAGGCAGAGGTCGCAGTGAGATGAGATCATGCCACTGCACTCCAGCCTGGAGGACAGAGTGAGACTTCATCTCAAAAAGAAAAAGAAATATATATATATATATACACACACACACACACACACACACACACACACACTATATGTATATATGTATATGTGTGTGCACATATGTGTATATATATGTGCATATATATACAGAGATAGATACAGACATAGAATTATTAGCCATAGAAAATTTTATAGTTCACTACTGAAGGAGCATGGGAAGAAACAGATATTTCGATGCAAAAAAATCACCATGAACATATATAGAAGATGTACATTGAATCAAACCATCTCCCAAGGCTTCCAGAGTATTCCTCCCTTTCCATTCTTTTTTTTTTTTTTAATTGTACTTTAGGTTCTGGGGTACGTGTATGTGCAGATCATACAGGATTGTTGCATAGGTACACACATGGCAATGTGGTTTGCTGCCTCCATCCACTCTGTCACCTACATTTGGCATTTCTCCCCATGTTATCTCTCCCGGACCTCCCCACAACCCCGCTGTCCCTCCCTTGGCCCCCACCCAACAGATCCCAGTGTGTGATGCTCCCCTCCCTGTGTCCATGTGTTCTCATTGTTCAACACCTGCCTTTGAGTGAGAACATGCGGTGCTTGATTTTCTGTTCGTCACTTTGCTGAGAATGATAGTTTCCAGATTCATCCATGTCCCTAAGAAGGACACGAACTCATTGTTTTTTATGGCTGCATAGTATTCCATGGTGTATATGTCCTACATTTTCCTTGTCTAATCTATCGTTGATGGGCATTTGGGTTGGTTCCAGGTCTTTGCTATTGTAAACAGTGCCACTATGAACATACATGTGCATGTATCTTTGTAACAGAATGATTTATAATCTTTTGGGTATACACCCAGTAATGGGATTGCTGCATCAAATGGAATTTCTATTGCTAGATCCTTGAGGAAGTACCACACTGTCTTCCACAATGGCTGAACTAATTTACACTCCCACCAACAGTGTAAAATTGTTCCTATTTCTCCACATCCTCTCCAGCATCTGTTGTCTCCAGATTTTTTAATGACTGCCATTCTAACTGGCATGAGGTGGTATCTCAGTGTGGTTTTGATTTGCATTTCTCTAACAATCATTGATGATGAGCATTTTTTCACATGATTGTTGGCCTCATATATGTCTTCTTTTGAAAAGTGTCTGTTTATACCCTTCTCCCACTTCTGGATGGGTTTATTTGCTTTTTTCTTGTAAATCTGTTTTAGTTCTTTGTAGATTCTGGATATTAGCCCTTTGTCAGATGGGTAGATTGCTAAATTTTTTCCCATTCTGTTGGTTGCTGGTTCACTCTAATGATTGTTTCTTTTGCTGTACAGAAGCTCTGGAGTTTCATTAGGTCCCATTTGTCTATTTTGACTTTTGTTGCCAATACTTTTGGTGTTTTAGTCATGAAATCCTTGCCTATGCTTATGTCCTGAATGGTTTTGCCTAGGTTTTCTTCTAGGTTTTTTACGGTGTTAGGTTTTACTATCCCCATCAAGCTACCAATGACCTTCTCCGCAGAACTGGAGAAAACACCTTAAACTTCATATAGAACCAAAAGAAAGCCTGCATAGCCAAGACAATCCTAAGCAAAAAGAACAAAGCTGGAGGCATCACGCTACCTGATTTCAAACTATACTACAAAGCTACAGTAATCGAAACAGCATGGTATTGGTACCAAAACAGAGATATGGACCAATGGAACAGAACAGAGGCCTTGGAGGCAACACCACACATCTACAACCATCTGATCTTTGACAAACCTGACAAAAACAAGCAATGGGGAAAGGATTCCCTGTTTAATAAATGACGTTGGGAAAACTCGCTAACAGTGTGCAGAAAGCAGAAACTGGACCCCTTCCTGACACCTTATACTAAAATTAACTCCAGATGGATTAAAGACTTAAACCCTTTACATTCTTGAGACCAATCTTTCTTTAACAGATAATCAAATAACTAAAACACTATCTACACAAGCTATCAAAGTTCTGGTTCATCTCCAAAGCAATAAGTATGAGATTCCCATTTCTTAGAACTTCATTTGGTTCTAAGACACTAACTTCACTTTATTATTCTAGCATTCATAGAACATCTTGATACACTAAAACAGTATTAATGAATATTCCATTAATTATTTGCTATTATTTGGGAAGGTACAGTCTGAACCATTCCACTTCTTTATTCCCAACATACTATACAAATTAATAATCTAGAAATATTTCAGGTGGCATATTTATAATTTTAAGTGTCTTCTAAGTTTTATACACATTTAAGGATATCCTAAGAGATATCTTAAGACTACACAATAATGCATACTAACTATTCTCTCAATTAATAAGAATTAGAGTTTCATTATCATATTTTCACATAGAGAGTTTATTAGAGTTCAGTAGGGCCATTTCCAACTTTTGCGTGAAGCCACATATTTTGGCTTCTTCTGAAATCAAATTCCAGCTCCTCGTCACCCATAAAGTATGCCTGACTCTTAATTTATAATTGCAAACTAAGTATTCCAGAGCAAGAAATTCATGTATTCATCATTATTTATTATATACTGTATCTGATTCCTAAATTACTCCTTTTTTGCAAAACAAGGGAAAAAAATAATTTTTCCCTCACATGTGCACCCTCATAAAACTGAGGTTATATTTTTAAACATTATATGTATTCAAGAAAAATATATCATTTATAAACCTCACGTTTTATATATTTCATGAAATCAGTGTCCTGTGCTTGAACTCTGACAAGTGGGGAAATACTGCCCTTATAAAAGCCATGGAATTTAATTTAAAACAGTGAAGGTGTCAGTTCTGAGAACTCAGCTGTGTGTGGTCCTATGTGACCTCTTCATTCCTGAGCAAACAGGGTCCTGTTGAGGAAGCACACCCATGGTAAATTATTTTTCCCCCACAGTGGCTAGACTTTCACCAGACAAGTCAGCACTCAGTGAGACAAAACCAAAGACAACCTAACCCCATGAGTCCGATATATTTCCACAGAGCTCTATTTAGTTTTGCTTTACAATAATAAATAGTGATAAAAGCAGGGAGGGCACAAAGCAAGAAGAAAATAAAAAGTTAAAAAGATAGAAGAGTTTCATATCAAAAAATTATTCTACTTTAAAACTCAGTAAGAAAAAAACAAAAAATTTCCAATACTTACTCCAAGGATCTTCCTTTGGCATCTACCACACTCAGGAGCGAAGAATTTCTCATAGCAAAGCTCACAATATAGGGCTCCTTTTTCCTCTACAAATCCAATGTAGGCCATTGTATTTTTGCAGTGAGCACAGTTAAATTCTTCCGGGTGCCAAGATTTCCCCAGTGCCACTAAGAATGGTCCTCTGACAGAAGAAAAAGAACTCAACTAAGTTTGAGAATTAAAGTTTCCAGAGTTAGCCTCGATAGAACCTCTTTTATGCACTGTCCAGTCAATTAAATACTTGCTCAGTTTTCCTCCTTAAGGACTGAACTCATGGGTGTTGGGTGTTGTAAATTCACACTGGGACTCTGCATTTATGTGAAGAGAAAAGGGGAGAGGAGCACTTAATGGATTCCTTCAAGAAAGGGTGCTCCCCACCCCTTTTTCTGTCTTAAGGGAATTTGATGATATGTTTCATGGAGCTTAAATGAACCAATCTGTCTGCATCATGAGAAGGATTGAGAATGAGGATGTTAACTGTGACTGTGACAGAACATGAAACAACCAGAAAAGAAAATATGGTTTAGGAAGAGAAGAGACTTTGACATTTCTATAAAAGAAACAAACAAAAATTTCAATTTGGTAAGTCGAAGTGCTAAAAATAGTAATAATTATTACCTGAGACAATTTCTTTTCCCCACACATTGTTTCATATACTTATTTCTCAATTTTACTAAACATAACAAATCCTCACCCTCCAAAATGTCTACAGAAACTATAAACTAGATATTATGGATTGTCTGAAACTACTAGGAAAGGTTTTATTTCATTCAAATATGACTGTTTTCAAAAATTTAATCTTATTGTAAAATGGGATCCACTCACTTAACAGATTTTTTTTTTTTTTTTTTTGGAGACGAATTCTTGCTCTATCACTCAGGCTAGAGTGCATTGGCATGCTCTTGGCTCACTGCTACCTCTGCCTCAGGTGCAAGTGATTCTCCTGCCTCAGCCTCCTGAGCAGCTGGGACTACAGGCGCGCACCACCACGCCCAGATAATTTTTTTGTATGTTTAGTGGAGATGAGGTTTCACCATGTTGGCCAGGATGGTTTCAATCTCTTGATCTTGTGATCTGCCTGCCTCAGCTTCCCAAAGTGCTGGGATTACTCGCAGTGAGCCACCTCGCCTGGCCACTTAATAGATTTTTAAGAGTACAATGTAATATATTGTTAGGATGGACACAATGTTGTACAGCAGATCTCTAGAACTGATTCATCTTGCATAAGTGAAATTTTACACCCACTGTGTGCCAACTTCCCTCTTTCCCTTCCCCAACATGACTGATTTTTAACACACATTTGTATCAAGGTAACAAATGTTTGTAAAAAGAGTTTTTTTCCCCCCTATTAAATGCTATATGGTCATGAATTGATAAGATGGGCTTGGTTTGCTGGGCAGAAATCCATTATTAATCCTTATCTAGTCATGAAGCCTGCAGAGACTAACCATTCTAGCCTCTGCAACATACTTTTCAGTAGCTATATCACACTAATTTATATTCATAGAGAGGCTTTACCTCCAAGGCACTTTTCCGCTTATCTAATTTGTCCATGCAACATTCCTGTGAGATAGACCAGGACAGTTATTATGAATTCAGTTTAACAGATGGAGAAGCCAAGGTACAGAATGTTCAAAAGATATGACAAATATCATAAAATCACTGACTGAGCCAAGGCCAGAAGCTGAATTTCCTAATTTCTTGTATGCCACTCTAGTCAACTGATATTCTGCCTTTGACCTCATTAACATCACTTATCAGCCCTAGGCGACCATATGGTAATTATTAGTAAGCATCAGATACCAGACTTCTAGGCAGATTATTAGCAGGAGAAGACACAGCAATGTGTATCACAAAATCACAGCACTTTTAAACTTCTGACAGTAACATGAACCTTGCTATTCAATAACTATCTCCCACTGTAAATTCTTTGTCAACATATTGATGTTTACCCAGAATCAGTACCTAATTCTGCAAGAGTCACAAAAGGAGAAAAGAAATTTTTTATGTGGGGTTTAAGAGGGTATTTTCTTCCCCTAATTTTTGTTAACTTGTTTCTTATTAATAACATGATGCCACTTTGTATAAGCTAGTACATACCATTCTCTCTTTTTTTTTTTTGATAAAGTGGATTTATTCAATTGAACAGTAAGAGATAATTTCGAATAAAGTTTTAAGCAGAAAATATCCAACAAGAATGCAAAACTTAATTCTAGTACAAGATTAATTACAATATAAATCCATGGGGTATATTATTTTCTTAGGACTGCCATAAAAAATTTGCCACAACCTTAGCGAAACAACAAAAATTTACTTCCTCACAATTCTTGAAAATCAAAGTCTGAAATCAAGGTTTCAGCAGGGTGGTGTTCCCTTCAAAGGCCGTAGGAGAGAATTCTTTCTTTTCCTCTCCTAGGTTCCCGTGGATTCAGGCATTCCTTGACTTACGGCCATATCACTCCATTCTCTACCTCCAGGGTCACATTGCCTCTTTTATATATGTCTTCTTATCTATGTATCTGTCCCTAGTGTTCCTGAGGTTCTCTCTTATAAGGGTGAGAGTTCTCTCTTACATGGTTGCATTTGGGGCCCACCCAGATAATTCTGTATAAGCTCCTCCTTTCAAGAGCTTTAGTTTAATCACATTTTTGGACACGCAAAGTGTTTGAGATAAGCAGTTTATTATTATTATTTTTAAAACTTTCGGGTACCGTAATTTTGTTATGACTAGTAAGGAATGCCTTTGTGTTTATTAATTCTTGCCAGAAAAGAAAGGGCTATCGATGACCTATTCTGTAATCAAGTATCTTACATTTGGTAAGTGGGCTGTCATTTTTAACTAATAACAATCCTACTCAACAACTTCACTGATCTAATTTTCTCAGTGTATACTTGGCAAGTATTATATCAGCAAAGATAAACCAGGAGTCACACTGCTCAAAGCCAGACAAAGTTTGATGAGTGACCTGCGCTTTTCTGCCAGGTGAGTAACCGGTTATATATGCATGAAAAATCTTCCAGACTCAATTTACTGTGACCATAATACAGGGTATGGTAGAGCTTTGGGGTTTCATGCTACTATCTGGCTGCACATTGAAACAGACTCAAAACCATTTCCTAGGGTGAGTTTTTTACTAGGGCCCATCTTTAGCTCATTCATGAGGTTGGAGGACTCTTGAGGCTAGTAGTCTTATTTGGCTTCTCAATTTTCAAAGTCAATCCAACGTCAAACTGCATTCCGTTAAAGCATAAGTGTTGGTATGTACCTGGAACAAAATGAAAAGCTCTGCTCCTGGAACATGTCTATTGGTGCTATCAAATATTTGACAAAGTTCATCTGAGAAAAAAAAGACATTTAACAACAACTGATCAAGGAAAATACATTCCATTTGCCAGATTTTCTAAAATATGTGTTGAGTTCAAGTTAGCTCAACAGAAAACTGGGTTCTGTGAATCATAGCATATTGGGCCTGCTGCACCCCACAGGATTATTCCTTTTATGAACAGTGCTTCTTGTGATACATCAGCTTATACTGACAGTTGTTACAGGACAGAGCTCTATGAAATTCACCCTTGCTCTTCCTGCAGGTTGTTGCTGGAGTGTTGTTAGATCAGCCAGCATCATTTTCACATTGACTCATTCAGAAAAATTCCTCTCTGATTTTTGTAGCAAGAACTGTTACGCTTTTTCTCAGCCATAGTCTTTTTTTTTTTTTTTTTTTTTTGAGATGGAGTCTCACTCTGTTGCCCAGGCTGGAGTGCAGTGGTACGATCTCGGCTCACTGCAATATCCACCTCCTAGGTTCAAGTGATTCTCCTGCCTCAGCCTTCCAAGTAGCTGAGATTATAGGGGCATGCCACCACCCAGCTAATTTTTTTGTATTTTTAGTAGAGACGGGTTTTCACCATGTTGGCCAGGCTTGTGTCAAACTCCTGACCTTGTGATTTGCCCACCTTGGCCTCTCAAAGTGCTGGGATTACGGTCTTGAACCACCGTGCCCAGCCAGCAATAGTCTTATTTTTATCTTACTGCAAATTGCAAAACTACCTTTCATTTTTCGTAGACTGCTAGAAGGCCAAAAGCCAAATTTACAGTCTAACCAGAGGCAAGTAGGCAGGTCATTATTGGAGTACTGTCCAGTCTCAATGTTAGGTTCATTTTTCACAAGTCCACCCATGAATTTCATTCTTTTTCCCCTTTTGTAATTTATAAGATTATCTTATATTTCACATATCCTTGAAATTCTTTTTAAAAACTTACTGGGATATAGTTCACTATAAATACATAAACTAAACCTATCATCCATTAAAAGGATGACTTTAAAATATTTCATTAGTTCCTTTCAAATAGCAAAAGGAATGTCAGACAGTAAAGAAATTCCCTCTGCACCTTTAAAAAAACAAGTTGAAAATGACTCTTACTCCTGTCAGATCTCCTTTGTTAAACAAGCATGCTCAGGGCAACTACTGGCCTAACTTGATACTTCCTGGCTATCCTGAAAGAACATCTTTCCCCACCAATGTCCTTGAAATTATGCATAGATCAAACAATGAAATAAATCTCTTACATATAGCAAAGTGTTCTCCTCTCTGTGTCAGCAAAGACTAATTTAACAAATTCATTAACACAGGATTAGCACTAAAGAAGTTCTTCTTATTCCACGTAGGATTGGGTTTCCATTTGTGACCAGGAATGACAGGCTCGGCTAACTGCAGAGTGGAATTAAGTATTCAGCTATCTCTTCTGGTACTCGATGTCCTGTGAGGCCTTACTAAGTACATGATAACTGACAAATGTAGGGAAAAGAGGGACTTAAAGCATTTGATTGGAGAGACAAGAGCTATGGCATGAAACTTTTCACCCTGTTTATCTTCTGTGAGGCCTATCCCAAAAAGCGGTTCAGGTGAGGGAAGGAAAGAAAAGGTAGGGAAGGATGCTAAGGAAGAGTTCAGAGAAAGAAAAGCTTACAAACACAAAGGTGAAAAGAACTGCAGATAGCAACAGGCACAACCTAACTGGGATTTAGCTTCAAAATCCGATGCTTATTGTTTGCTTCCCTTTGTTATTTAATTGTCATAATAACGCCAGTGATAGAAATTAACTTTTCCATTTACACGCAGATCAAGGAAACATCAGATAAA